GCATTGACCCTGACATGGCGTTCAGTCCCTCCCCACCTCACCGCCAGCTCGCTAATCCTCTCTTTAGCCCTGCCCTTTCGGCTATCTGCTCTGTGTGTGTGTCTTGTTGCCCCTCTGGCTTGTTAGGCTGTGGCTGGGAGAAAGGCTCTTGCCCGTTTGGGCTTGCAGCCCCTTGGGGCCGTCCCTGGGGGTGGCAGTGCCAGCAGGCAGAGGAGGGCTGTTTGCGAGAGCAGGCCGTTGGCCTGGCAGCCCTGGTTCAGAGCTGGCAAGCCCTGTGCTGTGGGGAGGCCTGCCCTGCTCCCCAAAGGATTGGCTTGGGTTGGCCCCGCCGGAGCACTCCCCCGAGCTGGGGCTGGGAAATTTACAGTGTGGGCCTTGGCGTGATGCATCCAAATTAGAGCAGTGAAGCTGCTGAATGGACTATAAAAGAAGAATAAATGGGGAATGCTTGAAGGAACTTTGGGTGGTTTGTTTCCATAAAAGGAAGATGGAGGGGAGATGTTATTGCTGTGTACAACTACTTGAATGAAGGTTGTACGGAGGTGCGTGTCAGTCTCTTATTATTAGTAATGAGTGACAGAAGAGGAAACAGCATCCAGTTGTGCCCGGGGAGCTTTGGATTGGACATGAGGAACAATTTGTGCACCCAGAGTGTTATCAGGCTGTGGAGAAGGTTGCGCAGGGAAATGGTGGAGTCCCCATCCCAGGAGGGATTTAATAGACATTTAGATGTGGTGCTTAGAGACATGGTTTAGTGTCGGACTAGGTTGTGTGAAGTTAACTGTTGGACTTGATTATGTTAAATGTCTTTTCCAAAATAAAGTGTTCTGTGATTGCACAAGGGACAGCCTGAAAGTGCAAGGGAGTTTCTGGAGAGCCCATGAGTGTGGTGAGAGGCAGAGGGGGAGTGGGAGAAGCAGGAAGGGGCGGCTGGTGAGCCAGGGCCTTTGGGGACTTTCCTTGGGATGAGTGCCGAAGGCTGAGGCCATTTCTCTTTGCAGTGTCCAATGGAAAGAGAGTTTGGAGATTTCCAAGGGGAGTTGGAGGCAAGCATGCAGCACGCGGCTGCAGAGCCGAGGCCCTGGTGGTGGTGGACACGTGCTGAAGGTCTAGAGGAATGGCAAGGTGTTTCCCAGCTGAGTCCAGGAGAGTGTTTTGCAGGATTTTGTGTTCAAACGGTCTTTGTGTATGAGGGAGATGAATCTTGGCAGGAAGGACTGCTTTGTGACAGGATGGACTTATGTCCTGGGGGCTTGAGGTGTCACAGCGATGAATGCTGTGGGAGCTGGCTGGAGTCCTTGAGAGAGCACACCAAGTAGCTTGGAAATGTGATGGTGCCTGGGAGTAGTTCCTGATGGCTGGAGGAGAGGTTATAGGGCTAATGTATTGAAGGAGATTGGGAAGGAAGATTCGGGAAGGTAGAAGCTGGTGAGGCTGGCCTTGCTCCTGTGGCAAGTGATCTTGAAAATCCTCCCAGAAAGCAGTGCCAGTCCCAGGAAGGACAAGAAGCTGATGCAGAGCTGTCAGTGTGGATTTACAAAGGGGAAATCATGCTTATCCGGCATCTGTGTCCTCTATATTGAAGTGACTCACTTTGTGGACGAGGAGGGAGCAGTGGCTGGTGTTTACCTCGCCTGTTTAGTGAGGCCTTTGACTATTTCTGCCCTTGCCCATTCCTAGACAAGCCAGGAAAGTATGGGTTGTGTAAGTGGCTGAAGGGCTGGGTCCAGCAGCTTGTGATGAGTGTCCCAAAGTCCAGATGCAGGCAAGTCTCAAATGGCATAGCCCAGGACTGGCATCCATGGGGCCAACACTGTTCAACATCCTCATCAAGTGACGTGGGTGGTAGTACACCGTGCTGCCTCAGCAAGTTGTCAGATGATGCAAAACCTGGAAGAGAGGCTAAGCCAACGGATGGTTGTGCCGCCATTCAGAGGTAGCTGGAGAATGAGGCAGAGGGGAATCTCTGGGAGTTGAAGATGCAGAAATGCGAAGGCCTGCATCTTTGTGGTGAATAATGCTGGGCAGCAGGGCATGCTAGGGGTAGAGAGGCTGGAAAGCAGCTTTACTGAACCCTGCTTTGTGTTGCTGGTTGGGAGAACGAGCTGGATGCTGTGGTATCATCACATCGTCTTGGCAAAAAACGCCAAGTATCTCCAGGATGGCGTTGGGAAGAGCGTTAGCAGGAGGTTGGCGGAGGTGATCCTGAGCTCTGCAGGGGTGGTGAGGCCCCATGTGGAGTCCTGTGTCCATTGAGGGCTCCCCTGTGGAGGAGGGATGTAAACTTAATGGAACGAGGTGAGTGCAGGGCTCTCACGAGACGCTGAATGGACTGGAGCATCTTTGCTATGAGGGGAAGCTGAGAGAGCTGGGAGTTTTATCAGGCAGGATTCAAGACTGTGCCAGGGAGATATCATCAGTGTGTCTAAATCCCAGATTGGAGGGCAGATGGACAGAGGAGTGAGAATCTTCTTACGGGTGCCCATGGATAGTGCAAAGGTGAATGGACAGAGGTGCAAAGATGTGCCATTTCCTTGGAAGGGAAGGCAACCTTTTTTTCCGGTGTGAGAGTGGTCAAAGAGTGAAACTGGTTGAGCAAAGATGTGCTGAATTCCCATCATTGGAGATACTGAAAACCTGTGTGGACATGGTGCTGGACATCGTGCTCAAGCTGGCTGTGCTTGAGCAGGTTGGGATGAAGTAGATGATCTCCAGAGGATCCTTGCACACCGTGAGATTCTTTTTGGTGTGACTGTCTTTGATGTGATGTCCAGATTACTGCTGAGGCAGGAAGTGGGTCAGCGGGGAGCAGAATGAAGCCCTCATAGTTCAATGCAGATGGTTAGCGACCTGCTAGAGCACTTAGACACGCACAAGTCCATGGGGCTGTGTTGGATCTGTCCAAGCATATTGAGGGGCCTGGTAGATGTGCATCATCAAGCCACTTTCAAGCACTTCTCAGCACTCCTGGGGTAAACAGTTACACCCATGTTGACTGGAGATTAGCAGAACTGAGGCTCGTGTACAAGAAAGGCTGAAAAGAGGATGTGGGGAACTACAGTCCTGTGAGTGTGACCACAGTGCCAAGCAAAGTTGTAGAGCAGATCAACCTGAGTGCCTTCCCTCGGCACCTACAGGGCAACCAGGTGATCAAGCTCAGTCAGCATGGTTTTATGAAAGGCAGGTCCTGCTTGACTATCCTGATCTCCCTCAATAAGAGGAGAGGCTTTGGATGTTCTTTACCTGCAATTTAGTAAAGCCTTTGATGCTGTTTCCCAGATCATTCTCCTGGTGAAACTAGCTGCTCGTGGTTTGGATTAGACATACTGTTTGCTTGGTAGAGAACCAGCTGGATATTTGTGCCCTAAGAGTTGTGGTGAATGGAGGTAAATGCAGTTGGTGGCCAGTCACAAGTGGTGTTGCCCAGGGCTGTGTGTTTGGGCCAATTTTGTTTAATAGCTTTATCAGCGATCTGGCGGAGGGGATGGTGTGCACCCTCAGTAACACTGCAGACATCAGCAAGTTGAGTGGGAGTGTTGATCTGCTTGAGGGTAGGAAGGGTTGACAGAGGGATCTGGACAGGCTGCATCGATGGGCTGAGGCCAACTGTATGAGGATCAACAAGGATCAGTGCTGGGTCCTGCAACTGGGTCACAACAACCCCCCTGCAATGCTCTAGGCTTGGGGCAGAGTGGCTGGAAAGCTGCCTGATGGAAAAGGACCCGCGGGTCTTGGTCAACAACCGTCTGAGTATGAGCCAGCAGTGTGCCCAGGTGGCCAAGGAGGCCAATAGTGTCCTGGCTTCTGTCAGGAACAGTGTGGCCAGCAGGACTAGGGAAGGGATCGTCCCGCTGTTCTTTAGTTACTGATGAGGCCGCCCCTGGAATACCGTGTTCAGTTTTGGGCCCCTCACTAAAAGAAGCCATTGAGGTGCTGGAGAATGTCCAAAGAAGGGCAAGGAAGCTGGTGAAGCGCTTAGCGAATGAGTCCTACAAAGAGTCACTGAGGGACCTGGAGTGGTTCTGAAGAACAGGAGGCTGAGGGGACCCTTATGGATCTCTGCAGCTACCTGAAAGGAGGTGACAGAGAGGTGGATGTTGGCTTCTTTTCCCAAGTAAGAAGTGATAGGATGAAAGGAAACAATCTCATGTTGTGCCAGGGGAGGATTAGATTGGATATTAGGAAACATTTGTTCATTAAAAAGGTTGCCAAGCGTTAGAACATGCTGCCCAGGAAATTTGTTGAGTCACCATCCCAGGAGGTATATAAATGATGTGTAGATGTGCTGTTAACAGACGTGGTTTAGTGGTGGACTTGGTAGTGTTAGGTTAACAGATGGACTCGATGATCATAACAGCCTTTTCCAACCTGAATGATTCTAAGCTGGTGTCTACTGTTGCTGTTGCTGGGGACATACTCGATAGGTGAGGTCTTGTAGCCCCTTTCCACCCATGCCAATGGGTTGCAGAGCCCTGGCTTTGTGCTGGGTGAGGTTGGAAGAGCCTTGGGAGAAGAAAGGAAGTGGAGGCATGTGAATCTGGGATGCAGAAGAACTTTATTGAGAGAAAAAAACAGGGAGAATGCAGGAGCACCGAGGGGAAGGGAGCTGGTCTGATGTAGAAATATGGCAACCATCATCCGAGGTCTCTTGAGTGCATTACACGTTCCAGAGCTCTGAGGTCTACCTTCCCTCCAGTGAGAGCAGCCCACCAAAGCCACCAAGTGGGCTTTGGCTTGTGAGAAGGTGTTTGCAGTGGAGAGTAGTAGACATAGCAGAAGGGGCGATGCAAAGAAGACAGTTGGAGAACAGGAGGAGGAACATGGGCCATGTTTCCAATCAGCCGGGGCTCCCCCTTCCCTGTTTCTTTTCATGGTGCCTTGAGAGGAGGAGCCATGGAGGGTGAGCCCATGTGCCAGCAACAGCCCGGAGCTGCGTCCTCAATCGATGCCGGGGCTTCCAGGGTGCGGGTGGTTGGTGTCAGGGGTGGTGGTGAGGGCCCTTAGCAGGGGTAGCAGCCCCTTCTGGCACCGAAGCAGCCCAGACCGCCCAAGCCGTAGCCGTAGCCGAAGCCGAAGCCTCCGGAGGAGACGGGCACTCCCTGGGAGCTGAGGACGTTGCCCACGGCAGCCGATGAGGAGGATCCGACGGCGGTGCTCTGGGGGAAGGAGCTGAGGATGGGTCCTGGCAGGGTGACCACCACGGTGGAAGGCTGGATGACGACGCGGGAGTCCTCGCACTGCCTGACACAGGGCTCGTTGCAGCTGTTAGCCAGCGGGGTGGGTCCGCAGGGGCGGCAGAGGTCGGAGCAGGCCATGGCTGTGGTGTGGAGGGGCCCTGGAAGAGAGGGGGGTGAGAAAGCGGAGGGGCGGTGGTGCAGGAGGGCGAGGGAGTGGGGAGGCGTGGTGTGGGGCTGTGGGGAGCGTGGCTGCGGGGAGGCGTGAGGGCTG